ATGTTACAAAGGGAGTTAGCAGGGGTTAAAAAAGGGTTAAAGACTATTAGCAATAAAATGAAACTTTATGATTGAATCAGAAGGAGAAAAGGAAATTTTCTCACTGCACAATTCCTAGTCCATTCCTATCCCATACACACCACCTGCAATTACGTGTCATGCCAGCTATGGCACGGGGCCTGTGTTCTCGGACGCTGACCTAGGTATCGCAGTTCTCCCGTACAGGAAGCAAGCGGCTTACCATTTGTCTGAGAAACGCCATCAGGGAGGTTCTTGGTGGTTTGCTTTCTTCTCTTTTGAGTTTGACTTCTGCGGGTTCAGGTGTAGCATCTCCTTCTTCGCTGAGATCCACTGTTTGTAAGGCTGAGTCTACTTCCGCGGACTTTATAATCTCTACTGGTGATTCACACACCACCTGGATTATTTTGCCAGGTAATAAGACAATGAAAAAAAAAATTCCCCCCAAACACGTTTTATAGAATGGGGTCCTGGTTGCCCCCCTGGCCACACAGTAGCTACAGATTTGACTCTACGGCCATTTCTACACAGGTACATCTTCAAGCAGAAACACGTTGTATAATGTGCTCTTAAACAGTCAATTTCTGAACAACTGCCAAATTGACGTGAAGTGCAACATTCCTTCCCCGCTGAAGGTACGAGGCACACAGAGGAGGTCCCTTTTGCCCTTCAGAGAATGCCCAGTACCCTTCCCCTCCTAGTAAGCCCACCTTTGGTCTGCCCCAAAGGTGAATTCCACCTGGCCTGTGTAGAAATCAGGAATAATCATTTTCTTAAGAGTCAAGCCTTAGAGACAGTAACCATGACACCATCCAGTCCACATCTTAGTTCCCCTGCACCTGTGGAAAAACCGTCCTCTCTGCAGAAAGGGCAGTGTAAACACCACTCAGTTTGGTCAACTGGCCTTCCTCACTAACTTGTTTCCCACCTGGCCCCAGACCAGTCATTTGTCCTTGGTACTTAAAGGAAGTTCATGATTTCAGATGAGAAATGAACTTGGTAAGAAAAACGATGGCCAAGTTGTTAATGGGCCCCTGGCCTGGCACCCAGTGAGCTCAGTGTTCCCTGAACATCTGCAGGGAGCAGGGAGGGCGAGTGGGGGGCGCAGATGCAAGGCCCGATTTACCTGCACCTGAGCCCGACTCTTGTCATTTTGCATTGCCTCACTGTGTGTGTGCAGGGCCCCAGTCCCACCTGGGACAGTTTCTGCATCTGCAATGGTCCCTGCCACAGGACAGAGTGAGTTGGCCAGGAGAGGGTTTCATAATTTCCTTTGTTTCCCCAGGCGGGGGTTGGCAAACTACTACCAAATCCAGCCTGGGGGGTGCCTGTTTCTGCATGGCCCCTGGGCTAAGAATGGTTTTTACATTTTTATAGGATTGTAACAAATGTTTTAAAAGATGAATAATATGGGATGTAGACCATAAACGGCCTACGAAGCCTAAAATATTTACCATCTGGCCTTTTATACCACAAGTTCTTCATCCCCTGCCTGCAAGGAAAGCACTTACAGGGACAACGGCCTGGTTGCATTTGTCCTTGCTGGTGTCAGACCCCAGCTTCCTCGGAGCCTTGTTTTCAAGGTCGGGGGCAAGAGGACTTAATCATTTCTAAAGGTACAGTATGCTCATGGAGAAACCGTTTTCCTTTCCTGCATACAGAATAAACCATTGGTTTGCAAATGACCCAAATTTTCCAAATCAAGAAGAACTCTTAGTTTCTGTGTTGTCAACTGATGCAGGGAGATGCCCGTCCACAAATCAACACGCAGAACACCCTGGAATTTGGCAACTAAATCACAGTAGTGTATCCCCTCCTGACATATCTTAAGATTTCTAGTATTTCCTTTTTTGAAAACAAAAATCTACTTTGGGGAGTTATAAACTCAAAAGCCTCCAGGAGGCGAGGCGGGTAATATCGGCGTGAATGGACCAGATATAAGACAAAAGAGAATGGTGGGACGATGGCAGACTAAAGTCAAGTTGTCCCATCTAAAGACATTAAAGGAATAAAAATGCTGGATTGGCCAAACAGAATACGTTTGTGAGTGAGCTTCCGCTGCTGGGCTGCTGGGTTTTGACCTTGCTCTGTTTTTATGAAACCAGAGCCACACACAGACTGGGGTTGGCAGTCAGATGTGGACATGGGTCTCTACCTATAAAGCTGATTTAATTCGACTGTATTTCTGACAAATAAGCTCCAGCCACAAGAGCCCTTGGGGTGAGCCTGAAATGCAGGCGTAGAGCTCTACGCAACGGGCTCTAAAGCAACCTGCCAGGGTCTAAATCTTGTCTTCGCTCCTTTTTGGTGTGCTCAGCTAAGGTTGGAGCTCCCTATCTCCGCGCTCCTGTTTTCTCTGCTCTCGATGGGGGTGGATACACGGGAGAAAGCTGTTGTGAGGATTAAATCAGGCAACACATGTAAAGTTCTTAGAACTGTGTCTGACACAATGAGCGCTTAATTAATGCTAGTGGTTGTTATTTGTGTTAATTAATATTAGAGCTATTTACTCCATGAACATGAATTATCTGGAATCACCCACCATGTACAAGTCTATTATTTAAAGATGATTACATTAGTATAATAACTACCTCTTTATACTATGCCTGGCATTGTGCAAGGTATTTATATATATATATAAAACCTCAAGAAATGGTTACAAAGACAGCTCAGGAAAGATAACATTATCCCCATTCTACAGATGAAGAGTCTAAATGGTTGAATGACTTGGCCAAAGTGACACTATAGGTCAGTGGCCATTGCAA